CGATAAGGACACCACATGATCCTAATATCTAATAAAAGTGATAAGCCAAAGAGGCTAACCTTGACTATAAAAAAAAATAATTTTATTAATATTTTTTAATTACAGCTTTCTCTAAATATATATTTTAAAACTAATTTTGATGATATGTATTTAGAGAAATCTAACTGTATATTAAATATAGTTTTTATATATACAACTCTTTCTAATAATTATTTTTAATAATTTTTTTCTAATAGCAAGTTGAAAACTAAAGACTAAGAAATCTAAACAATTTGTAATTTTGTTTACAAATTGTAATCAATAAAGTCTTTAAATATAATATACTAAGATTTAATTATATAAATTATTCGTATAAGAATTAAACCTTGTTTTTTTAATATTGTTTAATATAGTTAAGCTTCTAAACCTTATAAACAAAATTATTAGTTTAAGTTCAGCTAGTAGTAAATTTAATAAATTTAGTTTTATAATCTACAGAGGCTATTTATTAAATATGAAGCTCTGTAATAAGATCAAATACAAATATGAGACTAAATAAACATTTTTAGAAAAGATCTAATTATAAAGCAAAACACCATATATAATAATAATATCACAAAAAGTTAAAGATTATACTTATAAGTCCTTTGAAATAAAGTAACACCAACATTTATTTTTTTATTTTTTTTAAAAAATTAAGTTAAGGCTTTGCTTGTATCTTTATTAATAATTTTATAAGCACTAAAATATAGTAATAACTAACTAAATAATTACTACAAATAAAATAAAACTATATTGTAAAAATAAAAGCTTGTATTACTTTATCTGTAATCTCAACCTACTAGGATAATCAAAAACTCACTTAGATTGAAATAGTTAGTAAAAAGTTTAAAGATATACTATATTTAATCTAATAAATAAACTAATTATTATATTTTTTTGCTTGGCCAATTGATAGACAAATGCTAAAATAGATATATAGTTGATTAGTTTTTTTTTTTTTTTTTTTAATATTAAGGTGATCACTTGGGGGTCTGGCACATTTATTAACTTCGGTTGTGAATGCCAGGGCAGCCACAGGACCACTCCTGACTTTGTTACATTACCGAAGGTATATTCTAGTCATATCTGTGCCTTTTGAACACCTAATTAAGTAGTTCCCTATTACTAAATACTATACTAGATGCCATACCTATAATCCACTATTACTTGAGTTACCCAATTAAACCCTCTAATTAACTTAGCACTGTCAGATATTCTCCCCAAAGAGGAACTGCCACTAAGGCCCCTTAGGATTAATTTATCCTCGTGGTAAATCTACTAGAGCAGTCCATATCCCACAAACATGTATCATCTAGGTTTTTCGGTAACTTACATCTAGGCCAAGACCAAGTATTTGTGATATTTCTCCACTACTATTACCTACTCCTTGCCTTTACAAAGTTCACTCTACTCCAGCCCTTACTTATCCAATTAGAAACCTTTCCACTGTTTCACCAAACTTCCAATCCAGATAGCCCAGTTTGGTTCATAAGTTATGTTACCTGCTTTCCTACTGGCTTAACCCAGATACCGGCCTGTGCTCTTTTCCACTAGTCGATTCCAGCAGCCTAGTTGGTATAGTACTTGCCAAACACCCAGTTCTCGTTCAGATCCACAGCTTATTGGTTTTCTTCTCGAACTTTCTAGAGCTGTTAAAAATAGTGCTACCTCTCTACTTGGAACTTCCAAGGGATTCTTATTCGGGACAACGTCCAATGGATTTACACAGGTCCTGGGGACTTATCGTGGATTTACACCCCCTTTTATCAGTTTGTATCTCTTCGTGTAAATTCTCTATTACACGAATGCCCCAAGATCTTCCAAGTCTGTATTACCGCTCCTGATTAGGACTTGTGAGATAAGCTGTCCGTTAGGCGATCATTACCCCTCGCATCTATTTGGTCTGACCGTCGTTATAGGATCTACACCCCAATACCTGAATAGTCATCAATACACAGAAGAATTTGATTTTTGTCATTGGTGGAAATTGAACTCTGGATGTGCCACTTGGGGGGCGACAACTTGACCACTTCACTAAGTCGCCACACCCTAGTTGATTAGTTTTCTGTATAAACAAAAATAAGTATATATTATATAAGTACATCTGGTTATAGTTAATATATGTACTGCCTTTTGGTATTAAAGATAGGTTAATTTTGTTATTTTTTATAATTAAAAAAATTTAGACAGTAGTTTTCATATTTGTTTAGATTTGTTCATTAATTTTAAGTAATGAATTAATAGTAATATAAGCTGCAATTTTGTAAGAAATATTAAATTCTTGAATAGTATTTATTCAGAAATAATAGAATTAGACCTTTAAGTATAAGTTTAATATAATGTAAACTTGGATGTGTAGCTATTTGATTAAAGGCTTTATAATTGCATATCTTGTAAATGAATTCTTTTATTTAATTATTAGAAAGTTTTAATTTAGCCCTTGAGATATTTAGTTGAGACTGTAGTTATAATATGATTAAATTATTACAACTAATGAGTTGGTAAGTCTGAAGCATTACAATAAAAGCAATTAGGATTATCAAAATATTTAAAGTAAAAAGTATAATGAAGAAAATATGTAGGTAGTTTATTAAGAAGAATTTTGTTTTTAAAAGATTTAAATTGATTAAGTTTAAAGTTCATTATATTAAGTGCTAGTTTTTGATTGTGATTGATGTATAGCCAAGTAGTCTCCAATCAATTTTATAATTGAGTGAAAACTATTAATCATTTCATTTTGTGAAGACCACATTGCCAGTATTTGAACTTTATATATTGCTTTAATCAAGTATCATGTAGAGTATTCAATAAAAAATTGATTATCTTCTCATTGTAGAATATAATATAGAATAAAACTACATTACTAAAATTGCCAAAACCTATTTTTAAACTTTAAAAAAAAAAATACAACTCTAGCTGCAAAACTTCTGAATAATCAATAGTTATAATACTATAAATGATATGAAATAGTAAATATTATATGTAATTTGCATCAATTGTATGATTATTATTTATTAATAATTAATAAATTATTTTTTATAAAAATCATCTAATTGTTTAGCTGTATTAAATAAAATTTCCAACAATCAACTTTTATATTCTCAAAAAGTTGCTTTTCTTTGAAGCAATATCACTAAAGTTTCTGATGATAAGGAAATAGTTAACTCATTGAATAATCACGATGAATTATTCAGAAAAAATTATTGATACCAGTTCTTCCTTGGATGAGTGTTAAAGTAATACTATAATATTTAATTCATTATTTATAATAATAAAATATAATAACTATACTAATACTTTATTTAGAGAGATCATATTTGAAATCTCGTAGATAATGTAGTCGAACAAACTCAAATAGAAAATCTAAATTCTGGAGGTCAACATTCTTATACTACCCTTATGCTACACAAAAATGTTAAATAGATGATCCACGATGAATTAAGATGCAGTCATTAATTTCCACAAGACCAAAAAATCTTTCGATCTGGGCATGGAATTCAAGTGAATACTTACATGAAATTTATAATGATTAATAAGTAATACTATCATTATACAATAAATAACATCATTATTTGAAGGTTTCTTTGAATGTTTCAGATATTATTTGTTCAATTGTATTAAAGTTCTATACTGCATGTAATATAGATAGGTTTAAAAGTATTTTGTGTATTGTATTTGATAAAATATCAATATAACATTGAAAAAAAGTTAGAATAATTGTACGTATTATAAATATTATCTGAAAATGATTTATTAAATTGCACCAGAAGTAATTATAAAGAAAACTCTTGGAAAACTAGTATTGGATTTACATTCGGAATACCACAATAAAAGTTGCACATTACACCAAAAGTTCGACTGTAAACACTTTTGTATTTATTTAAAATGAACTAAATAAAAAACTTTATAAACGAATGTCTGAGAAAGGTTTTCTAACATAATACCTTTAAAAAATATTTACAGTTCTACATGTGATTATGTGTTGTAATTTCGTAGACCGATACAGAACACTCTAATAAGTCAAGCCTATTTTAAAGTTAAATAAAACTATCACGAATGCTGTATCATTATCAAATTATTATAAAATATTTTATTGTCCAGACTATAGGTACCTAAGAAAGTCATATAAAGTATGTCGAAAGTATATCAATGTATATACTCGAAAGTAATGTTAAGAATACAAACAGTGAAAAGGATAAAAAAAAATGAAAGTAAAGTTACATATAAATTTAATCAAAAATAACCGATAAATTAAGGCATAGACTTCAACAGTTTTTGTCCCCTAGTCACTAATGTATAACTTTAAATTGTCATTTCTACATAATCTAATTTCAAAATAGCTCTTCATTTGTTTTTATATATTTTTCGCAATGAGTTTGAAGTTGGAAGGCTCTATTAATTTGTGCCAATTGTTTGATAGATAAAACATTCTTAATATTAATATATGGCCCTTCAATTAAATCCTTTTCCGCCAGTTCTTTCAAAGGATCTAAATCAAATCTATTAGAAAGTTTAATTATGCCAATTAAAAGTGAATAGTTATCAATAGAATTATTATTATTAGAATTAAAAACTTCATAAAATGCTTCCTTGAATGGTTGACCATATAACCAACGGATTAGTATACGGAATGCTGAAGGCTGGCCTTCAATTTCGACAATAATTTTCTGTGACAATGGATCATTTAAGCTCTCATTTAAAAGCATATCAAAATGTTGAGATGCAGCTATAGATAAATGAAAATAAATATAAAATTCATTTATAAAAAATTCCATGCAAATTATAAATACCTGAAAGAACATATCGATTGGCATAGATATCCTCAATGCCTGTATTATTTTCACCAACTCGAAATACAACATCATGTTTAATTTCTTCTTGTTGTCTGAAATTTTCTAATAATTTTTTAAGTAGTTCATCTTTCTGTGAATGTTTCCTTACTTTAACTTTAGAACTAACATTTTCCAACTCTTTAGCTCCCACGGCTTTTAACAATTTCTTGTAATTTTTTAAAAATGGATGAACCTTACGTAAATCGTCATCATCTACTCCGAAAACAATATCTCGTCCTGCCACCCAAGAATTGGAATTAAACGGATCATCATTATTTAAAAATAACTTTGCATCTTTTATATTATCTTTGATGAGTATTTCAGTATCATTTGAATTTTCCACAAAATGATTCAATGTATAGTAATTTTCTCCTAAAATTTCTAAAAGTGTTTTAACTCCATCAGATGACTTCCAGGAGGAATAATTTGGTGATTGAGGTATTTCCAAAGCGATAACCATTAAATTCTTTATAATTTCAACAATTGGTGGATAATAATACGAATGTCCAGTTTCTCTTAACATGAAATCTAAGAATGGTTTTGGTGGATCTATAAATTTACTAAATAGTGTGCATTGAGTCCAACAAAGATTTTTATAAATTTGGCAACGTAATGAGTCAAATGATTCAAATTCTGTTGTGATTTTTGCTGCATGTTCAGCATATGGGTATGGAAGATCCAAGTCAACAGGTATGAATTTTATAGTTATTAACTCTTCCCATTGTTTTTTTGAAAACCGCATTTTTGAATAATTTTCGTACAAGTATCTTATAACATTTAATGATGAATCATTAGCGTTGGTAATATTATTATTTATCTTCAATTCAATTTCACGAGCACATTCCAAAAAATTTTGAGAGTTAACTTTGTAGTTCAGTCCCATTCTTTTTACTGCTTCAAAACATTCAGGATTTAAGAGTAAATTTGAGTGTAAAAATCTATCAGATTCATTAAATGATGTCAAAAACAAGTAATTATTAGCATCGTATAATTCATTTGCTTTAGCTAATTTTGTTAGTGAATTATTTGGAATTATGGGCTGTAATGCCAAATGATCTTCAATGTCTCTGTTTTTTAATAAGATAATAGATTTTAATAACTCTAAACATTGAATAGTTGGCCCCAAGTCAATTATGTAAGGGATGAGATTCTCCTTAACATATTTTAATGAATCTAAGGTTTGGACCTCAAGAGCAAATAGAGTACTGTAATCATCTTCTGATTCCGCACTAAAAACTTTGGAATTTTCTTCTGTAAAAAGTGGAAGATCTTGTGGAATTAATATTCCAGATTGTGCAGATATGAAAGCACTTTTGCCCAATGACTTTGTTGGCCAGATTGGTAGTGTTTTGAGAAATGATACGACATTTTTCTTATTTCCTAGTAACAAAAAAAACAAAAAAAGTAAATACTAATATCATTGTTTAATTAGCGGTGCCGTTCATTTCACCTCAACTTTACCGACAATGAAATTACAGACAGTTTACTTCGCTACAGCGCTTTTCATCGACAAAGAAGTTCTAGCCATTGTGGTCATTGTCATTAGGGTCAGGCTTAAAATTAAAGATTATTGCTCCTTATAAAAATAGCTTGTCGGTGAAATAAACTGTCTGTGAAATAAACATGTCTGTGAATTAATCGTCGGTAAAATAAAATTGCTTGTAAATTAATAGTCAGTGAATTAAGTTGCCGATGAAGTGATTGTCGGTGAAATGATACAGATCCTTGTTGGTTCAAGATAAGAAAATACAAAATGGAATAAACATGAAGATATTTACTTAAATTACTCTTGAATTCAGATGTGACAAAGTTTCTAAACTTATTAATTTCATGTGTATTTAATTTTTCACTAAACAGTTGTTCCACTGATATAATAGACGACGAAATAGCCCTCTCAAGGCATTTCATCACATTAATACCATTTGTTTTCAATATGCATTGTTTTAAGTTCTGATTACATACTTCCGGAAATTTCAAAGTTGTAAATCTAACTCCAAATTTTGCAATTATTGAAGTCATCGGATGAGAAGCTTCATAGGCTAAGGCAGGATTTTGAAAATCAAATAAAGCAAGTTTTTCTTGCGGTCGAATTATTGGTAACAACGGAAGTCTTGCAAATTTGGAAAAATCATAACTTGCATTTGGAGGTATAAAATAACGCAATATATTATTGATCCATTGTTGATTTGGACCATTCTGATTCCAATCTAATTCTTTATCGCGTGGTAGTTCATATTCTAATAAGGAGATTATTGAAGATGCATTCACTCGTTTGATTTTGGCTAAAGTACAGAATTTTTCGTCATTAAAAAGCATCTTGAGATCTTTTGGATATTCTGCCACAAATTTTGACCTTTCCACTGCTGTGGGAAATAATTCTTGTAGTTTTGGTTCTGCAATATAATGCTCTCGCTCGCCGAATGTTCCAGTAGTACCATTACTAAGTGGCAATAATGTTAATCCAATAAGACTTTCATGAGACAAATCCTTATCTTGAATAATAAATTTTAGCAATTTAAATATATTTTCATGAGATCCTCCATTTAATATATTTGGGTTACTCCGAAAAGTTTCAGAAACTAATTGCGCAGTAATTTTTTTTAAAGGCTCTATTGTTTTACCCTTATCTGTTCTTCGTAAATCATTAAAATGGCTTATTTGTTCATCAGTTAACTTGATGATTGGTATATTTTGAGCCGCCAAAATTTCAGCAATAACTGTGTTCTTGCGTTCTTCCAAATATGCATCTCTAAATGAGATAAACCTTCCTCCATTTGCTTGAGTCCAACAGATTTTAGAGTTGCCATAATACAAATTCCTTAATACCTTTATTGCATACTTTTTATATATTTCCGAAAGTCCATCTACAACTGGCCAAAGACTAGTAGTCGTGATTGCATTATATTGATTATGCCGTGATGCTCGTTCTTGTTGAAACTTTGGAAAACGATATTGGTTATCTAATTCAGCTACATGATTCAAAAGTGCAACATGTAACTGTGGTAAGATTTCAAATAAAATGTGTTTGTTCCAATTGTCTTCTAAAAATTTCGACTTTTCGTCTGTGTTGTTTTCTGATTGCAAAATATTTCTTCTATCACTAGAAATAAAAAATGTTCCATTAAGATGAACATTAAGAGAAGTGGTTACCGGGAGCGATAGGAATGAGTATAGTTTCCCTGTAAGTTTGGGTGGATTTGGAAACTGAAGTGGAGATCACATTAGATACTTTATCGCGCAACGCTAATATGATATTGTGCAGATGTTAATACCTTATCTCTCTTAAGTACTGTTAATGGTTTACTTCCAGATTGAGCAAGTAATGAAGCAACCCCACCTTTTGCCTAAAATTTTGGACAGATCATTATTTAAAACACTTATATAGCCATATTTTTAATAAATGTAGATTAAAATGAATTAGATTAAAACGAAAATCTGTCGTCTTAATAAATTTTTTTGGTTCATTTTTGGGGTTTGGTCACGATTAAGAGCTCAAATTTTCAATGGCAGTGTATAAAAAAGAAATTCAAGTATCTATCGTTTTAATCCAATTTCATTATAATCTGGGCAATAAATAAAAATTTTTATTCTCACTCGGATATTATAATTTTTAGAGATAGTTTCCAAATCTATTATATTCTTTTTTTCCTTTCCGCCAGTACAAACTAACCATATTTCTGAGCTTTTCCTATCTCTGTTGTTCATTTCCATCTCGAGTTGAAATATTTGTTGTTTATTAGATGATGATGAGCGACTTTCACGTATTTGGGAGTCCATATTTTCAATTTTAACTTCCCAAATCAATTTCTTAGATTTGTCTTTGGCGTAATACTGTAAACTACAATGTTCAATATTTCTTAAAAATAATATTTCTTGATTTCCCACAATTGCTTCAAAAATTTGTAAAACGTCCCTAGCATCATGGCATGACGTAGAAATTTTGCTGCTTTCTACCATTTTATTCTTTCGCAAGGGTATTCGAAATAAAGTTCCATTAAACTTTTCAGTAAAATTACACTCTTTAAAAGTCGAGGTATATGGTTTCGCTTGATCCTTGAATCTATTTTTAAAATCACTTTTAAGAAAATTTATACGTTTTCCTCGTGGTCGACGAGGTGGGTTTCCAGTTTTTGGTAAAAATCTTTCTGATGGATCTAAAAATGCTATATATTCACCACTCACAAAACTGATAAGATCTGTTAAATGAAAGGAAACATTAATTCCAATACCAAACTTCCCAATTTTCGAGTGGTCTTTTGATTTTCCGCCTACACCAAGTTTTAGTAATGATTCAAAATCTTTTTCTGTAAATACTGCATCATTGAATATCCATAAAGCTGGCCCTTGCCAATCATTCATTTCTTCTGTTATCAATGAATGTGACTTTTGATCAAGCAGTTTTTTTGGAATTCCAAATTCTCCTTCATCGATAACTAGGCAAAGCCTTCGCGCTCCTGCATCATCTGCGTTCTAATTATTTAAAGTTAAAAAAAATATTAGAATACAGAATATTCGAGAATTTCAGGATTTGTTCGTACACAGGACCAGTCTCTTTCCGTAAAAACGACCGGTTGTGCAAAAATTCGTGAATACTTTTAACAATAAGACATACTTGCAAGAATTCTTTGAACAAAACATTAATAGGGTAATCCTAAAGTTTATGAAATGAAGAATTAACAAAAAGCATAAAGTGAAAGACTGGGATAAATCTAAATCTTTCACATACATTAAGAATATTACTAATCCTGACGGCTAGTGGTTCTTCCTGTTCATAATCCACACCATAATTATCAAAGTCATTTCCTAAATAATTATACATATAGTCGCATTAATTCTATGTCAAACTACTTTGACATTGATAATGATGAATGGTTACCTTCATCGATTAATTTTCCAGTAAGTTCTTGCATTCCAAGCATTCTTGCAACTGCAGATGATATTTGCGGATGTGCGATCTTATACTCCCTTTTTTTTTCTTCTTCCAATCGGTTCCCCATGTCATCATATTGAATATCATAAAAATCAACTAGTTGACATTCAGTACTTGGTATCAATAATCCTTTTAGGCTATTATCATTGTTTCCTAATTGTTCAGAGTCGGCTCTTTTCTTCGCTATTTGCTCTATAAGCACAATAACCTTATGAATTTCATCATGTAATAGAGTTTTCCCGTCCTTATGAAATTCTCGAATAATGTTGATCAGATCTGGGATTTCTACTCTTTGTCTAACTCCCATTTCAGAAAACAGATCACTATAATATAATTTATATTTTGGTGGAAGTTGTATTATTACTGACGTATCACTGATTAAGCTATCATCTAGCTCAAATACTACTCTGCTTGATGGATAAAATCGATCATTGCAAAAAATCCAATTTTCTTCTTTCAATAAAAGTTCTTTAAATTTTTCTACTTCCATTCGTGACTGCTGATCTCGATCTCTGGCTGATAATGCTTCATTCATGTACTTATAAATTGATTCACATATTTTGTCAGGTTTCTGATGATACTTATATAATTGATCGCGTGATTGAGAATTACATGCTTTAAGTTGTCTGAGCACAATATCAACTGGCGGATATGAATTCCATCTCAGCAAAGTAGAAAATGATTTATTGTTAAGTGAATATTCTAGAATCGGCATTATTAAACCTACAGTATTTTTATGTTGCTTGTCTCGACAATCTTCTGGCTTCGAGAATCGTTGTTTTCCTGTATGATCGATTGTGGGAAGCCACTCAGTACTTAAGAACATCATGGACAATTGTTGAAGTTGACTATTATTATTAGTTGATACATTATTAGATCGAAATTGTTGTTTGCCTCCGATAAGTTTGTCAAAATGCAAATCAATATATTGAACTAGCTTCATTGATTTTTTGTGTACTATTTCTCTCAGATTAGAAATTTCTTTACGTTCATTCATAATTTTTAATCGTTGAATGATATCATCTAATGACAGATATGTTTTCATCCCTAGCTCTCTTAATAACGGCAAAATCCGGTGTTTATAATCAGCGATGTTTTTTATAGGAAATACAATTTCATCATCGAAAAACAATTCAGAAATTTTCCAATTATCAGGATCATATAAATCGATCGGTTTATGTAATTCATATTTTGCGCTATCATTGGGTTGCGATTGAATTGATCCAGATGGAACAAATGCTGTTTTCTCCAATATACTTTTCAACTTTGAATCTCCAGAAAGTAATTGCATCAATCTTTCAAAAAGCTTTGTTATTACAATTTTTAAAACATTTGTGGGTTGATATTCCAGATACGGGATAACAAATTTGCACCAATATTCTTGTTGAGACAATCGAGAAATCTTGATAATATTTTCCATAAGAAATCTTGAACTTGACATAGTTGCATCAAGAAAACCATTTACATCAGTGGGTGCAATAATATGCCCATAACTTTTTTCATCTTCTGTTGGAAGTAGATACCATTCTTTAGTTCCAGGCATTAGAGCAATTAACTCATCTTTGTCAACTTCCGAAAAGATTGGAAGGTGTTTAATAATAAGGCCATAGTTAGCGGTATTAGAAGGACGAAAATGGCGACATAAATAGTCTATCAACTCGTTTGCTTCTTGAGAGTTCAAATTTTGCTGTACATTCTTTGGAAATATGGTAATTGCACGTAAGCATTCCAAGACTTCAGACACATTATTAAGTTCAATAACGTATTTTGATAATCTAAAATTGAAAAATATACAACATGAAATGGAAAAAATAAGTTATGTGACGGATTGAATGTGTTGAATTTATAATAAGAATTAAAAAAAATATTTACTCATTCCAATTAGATACATCATGTTTTTCGAATTCTTTGTCAACAAATACAATTCCAAATTTCTCAATAAGTGGTTGAATTTTATTTTCGAGCTTGTTATCAATACTATTCCAAAAGCATTTCTGAACTGTTCTTATTTTACGAAGAGTTCCTCTATTTGTTGGTAAGAGATGAATATCCTTAAAATTATCTAAGTTATACTGCCTTTCAAGAAAATTATACCATATTTGATTAATCCATTCACGAGAATTCTTTAATGGGATCTCATCAATGGTATTAGTGTATCCCTCCAATGATTTAGTTATCAAATCAGCCATTGCCGTAGCTGTCAAAATCTTAACATTAAGGCACCATCCACTCTTTGTGCCTTCAAAAATTTGATTCCAAAGTTTATGAGGAATATCTTTATCAATAAATTTACTTAAGCTATTTTTAAATATATTTCGTTCATCATTAATACCAAGTCTTTGATCCTTATCTGGACCGATATATATAATGCAATTTGTATTCTTTGAAAAGTTACCCAAATCTTTATTGGCTAACGGAATCATTGACAGACCATCTAATTCAATATAACTTTTATCTTCAAGTATATATGAAAGCAAGGATAATTTTTCTTTTCGTGACAATTGATTTTCCCATTTTGCTTTATTTTTGTGTAGATATTTTCTAATTATTTGTGGTGAAAAAAATTTCAAGGAATTTTTGAGTTGTGATTTTTTTAGTGCATCTTTCACTTCTAACTTTATATTAATTACAGGAAATCCTATACTGCCAACAATTTTTGAAATCTCATCACTTGCATACTCATCAGGAAAATATCCATTATCGATTGATAACAAATGAAATTCAGTTTTATGTGATGTAAAGCTCTTTTGAGATATTTCAACAACATTGCCAAGCGCATACGAAACTGATGGTCCACAAAAAACTTCATCATCAATGTTGAGATTTTCAACAGTACTAAGCAATAATCTTTCAAAGAAATTGGTGGAACTTCCAGAAATAGACTTTTGAACAATAGGCCAAAAATCATAAAATTCCGATTTATTGATTCTTGGTACCTCAATGGGAAGTCTAACCAAAAATTTTGCCCAAGCTTTCGGGAGAACAGTGTTGAAAAGATATATATTCCATGAAACTTTGAGTCTAGCAGACGAATAATAAGCCTGTAATGAAAGACAAATGTAAATACATCATCGAAGACAAAAACCTTAATTATTTGTCATTGCTTTAATTTATTTCAAGAACTTACCAAATCTTCGCTATCTGCAGCTGTCCAGAGTGTGCGTCTATTTGTGCTAACCTTTAAGGAAATGAATTAATGGTAAATTCATGTTAGCACAACGACAATTAAACTGTCGTGAATTTTTAATACTAAAGATCATAAAAATTACAAATTATACCGCAAAGTATCCATGCACAGAACCGCGAAATGGAGTTACTATAGGAAGAGGAAGGAAGCAAAACAGTCTTCCAATGGCCTTACTATCATTAAGTGGTAATGCGATTCCAACGTTAGGAATGAATTTATATGTACTAATGGATTTCTTAAAATTATTTTGAAAATAATTTTCTGCAGCATTCAAATCATCAAGCCAAGTAAATATAATCCATTGATCCACTTGAGGATCATCATCGCCTCTTTTTCGGCGGAATTCAGCAATAAACGCGGTCTCTAAGGCAGTGATTTTTGAATTTTTTTTCTTAGTAAGAGAATCCATCATAGGTCCAATACTTTCAGCGATTTTTCTTCGTTCTGCTCGAATTCGTTCGGGGTTTACGATTTCGATTGAATAGAGCAATTTTAGTTCAGTTTCATTTTCACCAAGTTCATAAAACTCGATACTTTCAATATATTTCAAAAATAAAAGGCAATTAATGCTTTCATTTTCATAAAAAGTTTGAAACATTTCCAAAATTTGATCTGGACTATAAGCCTTTTTTGAAATTTCCGATTCCAACGCATCTTGGGCAGTGCGAAGGGGATAACGGAATAAGGAGCCTTTAAATTTTTGGTCGCACGGAACGCGAAAAGGAGCAAATTGATCCGGGTAGAGTGCAGCCAAGTTATTTTTAACAAAGTCAATTTTTATTCCACCATCAAAATAATTCTCATGCGGATCAAGAATAAGAAAATTATCACCAGTAATAAGTTGGACTATATATTAAAATGAAGTGATAAGTTCACGTTTAAGAAAAATGTTTAATTAGTATTTCAACTAACTTACCAGTATCACTAATATGGTAAACACTATTAAAGCCTACTCCCATAACTAAATTTGTAGAATTAGAGATACCAATTAAATTTACTAAGAATTTTTTTTATATATGATACAAAAAAAAGTCGAGTCTTTATATTACCACCAATCTTATCAAATTGATCATACTTTTCGCTATTAGCCAATTTCTTTAAGGAATCAAAATCACGCTCTTCAAAAATTGTATCGTTCTTTGCTAAAAGAGCAGGACCTTGATAACGGTCCAATTTTAAGTTTGTTTTATCACTTTTTTTCACTGGTTTCAACAGGTTGTTGGATTGATAAAAATTACGGTCAAGTATAAAGACCTGTGAACTACTTTTGGCGTCATCAGAATTTTGAAGAATTTCACGAATAATTTGAGACCCATCTGGATATTCTTCAAGAATTTTGCTAAGACGATGTGTGTATGGTTCACCAGGTTTAAAAGTCTCTCCTTGAGCCATTCTTTTGATGATGAAATCTTAATATAGAATTATCGTATTCAAATAAAGTAAAACGGATGAAGTTTTAAGAACCAAAGCCAGAACAATGTATTCAATGTTTAACATTTTTGGAAACAATGACGGTATTAGTCACGTGGCTTAAACTTATACGTATTGTCACGAAATGCCCAATTTTATCATTATGTATCAGTCTCACAAATGTTCTTGTCACACTCAATAAAACAAGTTTGATGATTAATCATTTACAGTTACTTACACGTTGGGGTGTTGGGTCGACTAATTGTGACAAATATATGTATAGTTCCCTAATTAAACCAATTATTAGTACAGTTTTTCAATATGATCGTATTGTTACACGAACGAATATCATTTTTTAATAGGAAATTATATACTATACGAAGGTGATAAATCTTTAAAAACCAAATCCTCTCTCAGTATTAATTATTTGAGCTTAAAAATAATGTAAAATAGGTCTAAAAGGTATGCTTTTTAATCTGTCGTGAGGTTTTTTTTTGGTACTTAAAAATTTAATTTTTTTCCTAATATTTTATAGCGATTTATATAGTTTAAAATCACAAATTTGTAAATAACTTGCGCTATATCTTAAATACTAAAATTTTGACACGAGAGTTCAAAGTACTAGTTATAACGCATTGATTAATGTAATTATCTTTTACAATCAATTAATAAGTTAACAACTAGATAGCTAAATTGCAAGAATATATTAACCGTATTAAAAGTTAAGGTTACTTTTTTGATGCAGGCAGTGTTACGATTTATATATG